TGGATCTCTCTGGGGAAAGCTGTGCTTCTCAATAACACACACACACACACACACACACACACACACACACACACACACACACACACACTCCTACAGCAACAATAAGCCTTCTGGTTGGGCTGAACTCTGCACCGGGCCGCTGCCTCGACGTGAGCCCCATCTCAGAGTCAGTGCCGTGGGTCCTGAGCGGCGCCGGCTGTCGGTTTGCCCAGACGCACCGGCCCGCTTTGTGCCAGCACCACCAGAGCTCCACACAGATGGGGGGTGCAGGTGGGGGGGGCGACGGTGGTGGAGGATGGCATCGAGATGAGAGAGTAAAGGAAGTAGAAGGAAGGAGCGGACGGCTTTTTCCTCAGAACTCAGGGTTGATTATATCTCCGCTCTGATCTGTCCGCTTTGGTTTTACTCCCAGATCTGCAGCAGAGCAGCTCCCGGTGTGGCTTCTTGTGTGTGTGTGTGTGTGTGTGTGTGTGTGTGTGTGTGAGTCAGTCGGTGTTTGTGTGCTTATATATTTAAACACCAAAAACCTTTTCATACGATATAACAGGGAGATGCTTTTGCAGAGTTAATACATCCTCCATGTAAATATTCTTGAACTTCCACCAATTAAGGACAGTTGGTTTAACAAGAGGATGACACAAACTTTGAGTGAACAAGAAGATAAATCACGCCCACAGATGCCATTCTTGTCACCTCTGTTCGATAGAGTTTTATTCCTTGACTCTGCAAACAATCCCTCAGGACCTTAACGCTCTGTTAGTGTTAAGCTTTGGCAAAAATGGTTGAAATTGTAGATCAAATTCATCACCATAATTGACTACTAGGCCTTGGGTGGAAACTGTCAACCAACTTGCATCAAAAACTATTTTTCAGACATTCTGTTTACAGGGAAACTAAGATTATTTAATGAGGATATATAGGCCCATGTCCTTAATGCTTTGGTATTTCTGTTACATATTGGTTGACATATGCTGTTAATGGGGATACTTCTGTGAGATAATATTGGCTAATATACGGCCCCACCAACGTCTGGTTATAAAATATATGACTCATAGTATCGTGACACAGTTATGATTTGTAATCTTTTTTCTTTGAAGCAAAGTAAAGCGTATTGAACCATGTGGTTTGAATCAAGATTAACATTAAAATCCAATATAGCAGGTACTTTTTAAGAATAACATATTAGAGCATTAGATTAGAGTATAAGTGAAATTTACAATTCAATAATCAATGAGATTAGAAGTAGTGTATAATATGATTGTTAGAATCAGACCACTAAAGTTAGGTGTAAAATGTATACAGAGTTTAGTATTAGGTTGGTTTCCTTGTTGCTAGGTTCAAATACTGTATGTGGATTGAGGTTGAATTCAGACCTATAATCCACGGTGATTCAAGTTATGTTATAAGTATAATGTAAGGATTAGCAGAAAAGCACTTTTTTAGTTTTAAAATCAGTAAATTAAAATTAGAATTTGATTTGTGATTGTGTGGTTAATCTTAATTTAGATCTCAATGTTCATTATCAAGATTTAATCCATTCATCGGAATCATAACTCGGATGAGTCGCTCCGGATGCATCGGCTTCCCGTTTCCTGCGACGTCTCCGACCCGTGGAAGTCGAGCACACACGGCGGCCTCTGATTGGTGGGCTGCTGCTGTTCACCTGGACACCGCCGCGTTTCTCAATCTGCATATTCATCAGATGGCTCATGAATATTGATGAGTTGGCTGCGGGCGCAGTGGGTGCCCAGTGGCTGCAGGGCATTGTGGGAAATTAGCACCATCACTAATTGTGATCCGCTGCCCCGCGAGTCTGTCAATCAAAATCAGGAAGGATGATATACTTTTGGGGCACCTGTAGCTCCGAATATGTATGCATGATGAGACCGAGGGAGACCTAGAGAGAGCATAAAGAGTGGATGTGCGTGTTTGTGTGTGTGCCGACATCGAGGGCCACAAGAGCACCGCGTTGCCATGGTAACCTCTACCATCAGAGCACATGAGGCTAAGGCCTCAGGATCTCAGAGAGCGATGGAGTGAGACAGAGAAAGGAAATGAGTCGAGATCTTAGATATCAATCTGTCCTCATCCATCGGGCCGACGACCTGTTACAAAAATGCAAATATGTGGGCCATCTGATGTATGGAGGGAAACCAAATTTCCCGTATTCGGCCGATCAATGTCATTCTCCTTCGTCAACGAAGGTGTCTTCTTTTCCTTTGCTAAACAAAACCTTCCTGTGTGTTGCTGTGTGAACGCTCTTCAACACCTCCTTCTCAGATCAGCCTCACTCTTTACTAATGATTGCAGAGTTAAATCTACAACCATACTTTCATTTGGTGTTGATTTTGGCGTGTTGACAAAGGTGGTAGTGTCTCATTTTACTGCAGTATGGCAGTCCTGGTTCCTGATCTTCTCTGCCTTCTGACTCATCTTGTGGAGCAGTTTAAACACTCATTATCATGGCAGCAAGGAGGGAAGTCGCTCTCCTTACATATGTGTTTGTTATGTGATTATTAGATATTATAAGTTTATCTTGACATTATTTGATTCACATATTGAATGTTAAGCCTTGATAATAATCAGCCTGAGGCTGACTTGCCTGCATGATTGAAACACATTGTTGGATTTAATACGGAGAAAAATATTCACAAGCTTCAGACAGCAACCCCGCTGTTGATAAGAACACTTAAGTGAAGACTAAGAAACACACTTAAATTACCATGTGATATTCCAACAAGTATTCAAAGGCCACGACGAAGAAAATACTTGCGTGGTATTTTCATACCTTGTGCATATACCGTGTTTCTCCATCTTCACTTTGTTCCTGCATGTGCAGACTACTGAACGCACAACTGTGATCAGATTGCATCACAGAACATCCTGAAAAAGACATAATCACATGCCAATGCAGTGAAAAACTACATGACATGTGTTAAAGAAGCTGAAATTGCAAGCCATCTTGCATTTCCACGACTTGATGTGACGCTTTCTGCACATCTCTGTGGGTGTGTTCAGGGACAAAGCGTTCAGTGTTATTTCACCACACTTTCATTTTATTTGAGTGGAAGTTTCCAGAACTGTGCGCTGATGAATTGCATGGCCCGCTGTTGGAAGTGCAAGATACAACGGCGTATTGCAGGTGAGTGAAGTCATTAATATTTCCTCTGTATCAATATCACTGTGGAATGGTGTGTGCAAAAAAAAATTGTGTGTGTGTGTGCTTCAGATTGACAGGTGGATGATCTCAGTGAGGAGCGCACCCTGGGATCGACTGCATAATCAGGGAGACAAAGGAGCAGAGGAAGAGACGAAGAGAGGAAAAGAGGGAGAGAGTGTGTGTGAGGGAGAGTGTGAGAGAGAGAGAGAGAGAGAGAGAGAGAGAGAGAGAGAGAGAGAGAGAGAGAGGATGAGAGAAGCAGAGAAGTGCAGAATAGTAAAATTCCCAGAGGGGTGAAGAGGTTGTGTGCTCTCGTCTCTGTTTATTTCCCTGCATTCGTTTGAAATGGTTTGTGTGTGTTTGTATGTGTGTGTGTGTGTATATGCATTTCTCAAGGCCTCTGTTTGTGTGTGTGTGTGTGTGTTTGTGTGTGTGCATGCCGGTATATGCAAACCATCAGCCCCTGTATGTGTGTGTGTGTGTGTGTGTGTGTGTGTGTGTGTGAGGCAGGTGTTTGATGGTTTGCAGCAGTAAATGGGTTCATTGTGAGAACAGCGAAGGTTTCACATCAGGAGACTTCCCGGGTAATTATACAGGAGCAGTCAGGTAACAACACACAAACACACACGCACACACCTATCAGCAGGCTGCTGCGTGTTTCCCGTGTGTTGCGGCGTGTGTAATGTGGGTGTTTGTCATGCCATAAAGCGGCGGGCCTGTGATCTCAGGTGCATGCATGTAAGCTGTGGTTGACAACCACGCCGTTGTTACACGGTAAACAGGATTTCTCTGGCGGCGGACGACTTAAGAAAACAGCGTGAGAGCTTATGGTCCACCAAAGACTCAAAGCCGGAGGAGTCTGCTGTAATTGACCAACTCCGCTTTCAACTTTTCCAGCGTCTCTCTCTCTCTGTCCTCGCTGCTCGATTCGGGAATTGTTTCATGCGCACTTTTCCTGATTCAGTGTGCCTCGGTTGCGTTTGAGGATAACCAAAAGCATTAAAGTCTAAGAAGACAACCCTGTGAGGCAGTTGAATTTGACAAGGGGGGGTGGGCGGGAATCAATACGTCTAATGGAGGCCTTTGAGGGACATAATGGAAATTCTTGGTCAAGAGCGGCTGTTGGGGTAATTTCATATTTATTGGTGGCTACTTGGATTATACTGTCAGATGTAGCGTCTGGTGTCTGTGGAAGGCTTTGTACTATTATTATTATGGTGGAATGTATCAGGATCCAAAGCACTTTTCTGGCTGTAGAGTAATTGGAAAGAACCTTTTGCATCGTTGTACAGTGTACAAAATGAATTTACTCAAAATGTCTTAATGTCTTCAGCGGGAATATCAAGATTATTGTTTAAGCCAAAAGAAGACAGGAACACCAACGTTTGCTCGTTTCCGGTTCACTGCACTTTTACTTTACATTTGTCTGCAATTTGAAAACCTAATTAACATAAAACAAAGGCTGCTGATGTGCCTATGAAGCACGGCACTACTTATACAGCCAGCATGCACGTCTATCATAACAGATAAATATAATATATCATATAATAAGTGTATGAGTCACACTGTCATCAAATCAACCGGAAGTTGATTTGGTTCTGAACAGAAACTGAATGTGTTGGCTGGACGCCAAGCTGACCTCGCCTGAACTCTGAAGATTGGTTTGTAATATCAGCAACCATTGTTCATAAACAGACAATGGCTTTTGTTTCCCATTACAGCGTAACAACAATTGATTTAATCAAAGCCCAACAGTCACATTGATTTGTAATATGTGAAGAACGGGGTGAATTGGGACTTTACAGTTTGGTATGTGGTCGAAAGACAGAAACACTCAAAGTTCTCATGATCGTGATTTATTTTGCTCGCATCCATGTGATTTTCAATTGTTGTCATGCAACAAAGAGAAGTATCATCACTGACTTACATCCAATAGAACCTTATAATTACAATGACAGGTCGGTCAAAGTGTGCTGCCTGATGTGAAGACTGCAGAGTGTAGAAAATATCTGTTCAGCTGCCAAATAAAACTCACACCCACTCCACGGATAAGACACCGAATGAACTCTTTAAACAAGCTGAATATGAGAATTTCTTTGTGTCATAAACACAACACGCGCAGCCTCCAACTCCAGCCTGCTGGTCTGAGCAGAAATCTGAAAGAACGTTTGATTCTTAAAGATTTCTCTTTAGCTGTATTCCCGGCCTCTGCTTCATCTTGTTAATCCAGTGAACATTTCACACATCTTCACTCACACACACACACACACACACTCACAATTGCGCACATGCAACATACATTTAAACAGCTCTGCTTTAAAAGATTACAGAGATTACGCAGGAATTACACGATCAAAGTCATTGAACCTGCGTCGGCACCCTTGCATGTGTATACTTCTTTCACAGCGAGAGAGTTTTTGAATTTGTGTGTGTGTGTGTGTGTCCTCCCTTTTACTCAGAGACCTGCAGGTTAATCTCCCCTCAGGCTGCACTGCCAAAGTGGCGCACTCTGCTGGTCGGGATAAGTACAGCAAAATTGGGGAAACCCCTTCTTTTTTATGACTGCAAACAACAAAAGTAAAATAAGGTTTTTAACATAACAGAGGGGGAGCTTGGTGTTTTGCTAAAGAAGCAAAGACACGTGGACGATGAAACTGAAGGGTGGTTTCGGTCCCAGTGGATTTGAACAGCGGTCAGTCATGTCAGTGGCTGCACACAAGTCATGTGGCGCGGTGCCAAGACCTGCAATAAAGAAAGAAAAAGAGATGGAAATCATTAGAGGTTGGACAAGGAGCTCTGAGAGGAGACAAGAGGAGTCTGCACACGGGAGTATCCAGTGGTTTGCAGGTGAAGACCTTGCAGGTCCGAATGGGTTCATAAAAGTTGAGAGATGGATGACTGTGCAGGTGGCCTCTCGTTTCCTTTGTTGCTGCTCTTTTTCTCCTGAACCACTCAGCGAGGGTTGGATGTGCTCACTGTGAAGGACATGGACAAGTCGGCTTCAAGGAAATACATGGCCGGCTTGTCTAATAGATCATGTCCTTAAAGCCGATCTGATGATTTGGAGGAAAGGGAGACTCAAGGAAAACATGATTATGCAACACAGAAGTGTATTTCTCATGCTTTCCTCGTTGTTTCAATCTTGTAAGTTACACTTATTCAGGACTTAAAATCATTAAAAAAAGAAGAACACTCCTCGGTTGACAACTGATTGAGATGTACAATAACGGCACAGTGGAAATGTCCTATATTGTTTAAAAGGTTGCCGGCCAACAGCCTTACAGTATCATTCACAAAGCTCCGGATGCACATTCAAGCCAAGAAGAGAGAAAGGCTGAATTAATAAATCCGCATGCAAGTTGCTTCAATAAAAGCTGAATTAATAACACATTCAATTAAGCCTGATTTGTGGGAAGCATGTTTTTTTTAATGTTTTGGTAATTATTTACCTAACTTTTTTTTTCTTCCTCTGCATGAGTCTTCCAAAACTTTGACATGAATTGAAACTGGCTGCAGTGAGAATAAAGGCAACGTGTAAAAGACCCACTTGACTCTTAGCATTGAACTCACCACACAGGAAAAGCCTGGAGCCTGAAACTAATAACACATGTAATGTTCTTTTATCCATGATTTTAAACACTTTTTTTTTACATAAAATCGGAAATCCCAAAGACTCAACTGAAATATACCATATCCACTATTTGAACAAAGAAAACACATTCATTCATAAGTTATGAAAGTTTTTGGATAAAAGAGAAACAGTGAGGAAGAGGAAGAGGAGGAGGAGGAGGAGGAGGAGGAGGAAAGACATAATGGAAATATTAAAGTATATTTGGCTTTTTCATATGCACTACAAATAAAACTGGATGGGAAATAGTCAAAAGACTGTTTAGCTTCCGTGTGATCTCCAGGAGGACTTCAGAAACTCTTGAAAAGAGAAGTTAATGAACATCGATCGACGTGCGCGCTCGGACACACACACACACACGCACACACACACACACACACACACACACACACACACCAGACATACTAATCCAACAGCTGCTGAAGTTAAGTTTTTAGAAATCAATCAATTTCACATCATCAAATATGGCCGAGTGATGGCTTTAATAGGCCATTTCAAATATTGTTAATAACTCAACCTGGAAAAGCATTAATTGGTTGTTGAAAAACCACAACAGGCTGCTGCCATTCACTTAGTTGTTGATGATTTTGGTTTGAACTTTAATTATATTGTAAAGTAAAATCCAGATATATTGTGACGAATTAAGAAACTTAAAATCAAAAGATAAAAGTAAAATATTTCAAAGTCCACAATAACGGACCAAAAACAGCATTGTCAATCAACGCAGCGCTTTGTTATTTTATAATTATTATTGCCGTGTCGGCCTACGGATTATACACGTACCCAATATGTTGGGAGAGGCTGTCCGTTGGCAGCAGATTGGCCTTTTCTTTAGTGTTTTCGCAGCAGCTGACACGTGTCTGCTCTGAGTTGAACTTCTCAATTGACTTCAGGAGTAATTACTGCAACAAAGGAACAACAAGTAACCCGCTAATTGACAACACAAACCGGCAATGATACCCGGTGGCTGCCGCTAGTGACCGGCAGCCCGAGCAGCCATGTTATTCCCGCAGGTTTGTTTTTCCTCCTCTACCAACAGAAAAAAAGATTGTTTGCAGGAGACACAGAGGGTCCTTGAAGTAGCCTAAACGTGCCGCAGCTCTGTAGGCTGTGTGTGTCTGTGTGTGTGGGGGGGGCATAGAGGGGGGCAGGGGGGTCCCCCCGGGGCGATAATAATTAATATGAGTCCATTTGACTTTGGTCCATATTTGTTATAGGACTATTAAATGTCAGGACATATAAGTAAAGTAGGAGAATATAATACTATTTTTTTAACTTTTATTTTTCTGGCTGTAAATCTGGACTTCATGTAAAGTGGTTGCGTCTCTCCCCGACTGTCCATTTAGCAGCGACCACCTGTTTACTGGCTCCTCTGCGCCCCTCACCTCACGCACATGCATGAGGAGAAATTAATTTGCTTCAAATCTTGAAGGGTTTAAACGAAAGAGTGACGCCCCCCCCCCCCCTCCCCTAGCCCCTCCCCGCCGCAAACCGACAAGTAAATCCTCCCAATTAGTGGATCCATATTAGCATATTAACCTGTGCTTCCTTCCGAGGCGCATCCTCTATGTAGGTCAGACACCGTTTTCTTAATTGCTTTTTTGCTGTTGATGGAGGACAAACATCTTATGGGCCGTTTGTTAGTTGCTCTTCATTAGGCCAGTCGTTATTTTGGCTGGAAAGGTGCAGGTCTACACACACACACACACACACACACACACACACACACACACACACACACACACACACACACATGCAGGACCGGGTTAACGGACGCTCATGGCCATATGAGCCCGGTGTCTGACCGGGGTTGATTAAAAGCCAAACCAGGCCAGCACATGTGCACGTAGACAGGAAGCAGACGTGTGCTCTCACTTCACACAGACAATTAATGACATATAAAATAACCCAGAGAGAGCATGTGTGAAAGGGAAACACTCATTATAACACAAGTCTACCCAAAGAATTGTCTTAAACAAGTAAGGGGATTACGGTTTACTCTGGTAAAAAGCTAAAATAACTGAAGGTATAATGATCTGTTATAAATAAATTGTGGTCCTCTAATAAACCATTTAAACCAATCAGAGCTGTAAATCCAAGAGAGGGGTGACATCATGGGAAATGTTTGGGGTTTTTTCCACATCAGGAACTATGTGTTTTAGGAGATACTGGATTTAAAATGTAATATGTTCGATTGGCGATTCTTTCTTTAAGGCAAAACCTCGAGCTGCAACAGATATCTTCTGATATTTGTGCCAAAAAGCGATAAATAGTCTATTTTGATTCTTGAAAAGCATAATAATTTAAGGTCGAAATGTTACACAGCCAGGATTGTGAAAATATATATTAATGAAATTACAATAATGAAGGCCACGATTGCCGTTTGTGCCAACATTCCCACATGAAGCAAAACCCGAATCACGTGCCTCTCCGCGCTGTCTCATTTTCTGCCATTAAATGTCTCAAGGAATATGGCACCAGCCCCATCAGCCCCCCTCCCCCCTCCAGGAGCAGCGGTCCATCGAGGAGCCTTGGGGCTGATCTAAATTCTCGCCTCTGGGCTGTGCCGTGCGGGGTTTCGGGGCCTTTCCCTGCCTCGTCAGGCGGCAGATGGACTGGCTCCTGTCCGGAGATCAGTGCGCATCTGGTGCGGCGCTCCGACGCCCCCGGTAAAAGCCGGGCGACTCGGCACCATTAAGCCCTGTTAGGACCGCCTGCGTGCAACTGGTGCCCCGGGTTTTGGTGCAGAGCCTGCAGTCACCCATACATAGATCTGGGTACATACATACTTAAAAGAGCCCAACGCCACGAGCTCCTGCGGACACACAGTGACCTCGGTTAGGACAGCGGTCAACATGTGGAGATGTTCGGGTAAACCTTATGGCTTTTAGAAACAAACTACAGTGGCGGGGTTTCACGTTTTTCTTTCAATAAATTGTTTGACTCCCTTGAACCTGATTAGACGATGATGACGATGGTGACGTGACCGGAGGGCGTCATTTTAGCTTGAGGTTCTGCCCTCAACAGACAGTTTGCGTGCGTTCTGTCACCTGCCAAACTATAAGAAAACAATACAACATCACATTTGGCATCACTTGAGTATGTTAATTGACACCGAAGCGCTCCATTGCTCTCCGGCTCTCTTTGCCCGGTGGTCTTCCTATTCCTACTTTCGCACCTCCCCATCTCTCTCCCTCTCTCCCTCTCTCTCTCCCTCTCTCTCTCTCTCTCTCTTTTTAATACCTGGCGTGTGACAAGCGGCCTTCACGGGTCTCGTCGTGCAGAGGTTTCACGTCGAGCCCCGAGGCTAAACAATCAGTAACGCTTAATTAAACTATAAAAGGCCTTGAGAACTTTTCATGAGAGGCTATTTCAGGTGGCGCTGAGCAGTTTGTGCTATAAAGACTTTCGGTCTAAATATATAAACAACAAGAAAGACAAAGATCTTTAGGAATACTACAGCTAGTTTTGGGGAATTCATTATAGCCGGAAAATGTATTTCCAGGAATATAAGGAAGAAATCAATAATACTATAATCGAAAGAGCAGGCTATCCAAATGCTCTAGTTTATATCGCACATAGATAAATCGGAGGGGTTATCGACTAGCGTGTCGTTATTATTTGTCATTATTGTAACCGATTAGGAAGCAGAGAGAGAGAGAGAGACGCCAACAGATGGGAGGGGAAAGACATAGTTGATTAATTAAATTGCGGAGTCAATCCCGGCGTCCCGGCGTCAGCGCGGCCACAGTCTGCACTTTAACAATATCGGGGAGTCGCTTTGGTTACAGTTACAGCTGAGCAGGAAAACAACACCCAAAACGAGACTGATTAGGCCTTACCCCCCCCCCCCTCCCCCCCATCCGCCCCCTCCCCTCGCTCCTCCTCCCTCTATGGGTTTGTTTCGGATGGCTGTAAATCTGACAAGCTTCTCTCTCCTCCTTCAGTTTCTCCTCCTCCCCTCTCCTTTATTTCCCGTTTGCTCCTCTTCAGGCTGTGACCACAACCGTCGCGTGTCTCTGTTGCTTCCCCGGGGGGCCTAAGAGCAAGGCAGCAATGGGCTGCTGTATGCTGCTTAATGCCTCTCCGTGCACCTGTTACTGATACGTGTGTTATCACGTGGGCCTCGAATCCCATAGAGGCTTTAATATTCCACTAACGTACAAACTAAAAACAAAAAAACACCAACTTCCACAACGCCTCAACGGCACCGTCCAGCCGGGGAGGACCACCCCGAGGGCGCGTGCTCAGGTGAGTTACAGCACACGGGGAAAGGCAGAGCGAGAGAGAGAGAAAGAGAGACCAGATAATACCGTCCCAGTTCTGATGTGCCAGGTCCAACAATAATAACAAGAATAAAGTGAACAAGTAATAATAGCGACACCAATATCCATTCAACCACACGCCTGTGGTCACATGGCTGAAAGAAGACACGGTATCTTCACAAAGGCAATTCTCATAGTAACCCCCTCCCCCATAACAAGAAAAAAATAAATAATCAAAGGCTTTTTCCGTGCATTAGTTAAAATATGTACAAAAAATAAACACGCGAGCAGCATTTCCAAGTTAATTGAGCACACATGCACATATTTAACTTAATATTCATCATAATCATCAATAGTTATAATGAACATGAATTATGTTTTTTATTTTTAAAGTATTTTAATAAATAAATTCGCTAAAATAATTGATCAACGGATCGATTCCGTTGTGGTTACATCGACTGAAGCTATGCTGACAAATGTGTACATTTGGGATTATTTCATTTGAAACCTGCATAAAGTATTAAAACTGTATAAAAACAGTCATTGTAAAAATCTGAATCAGCGGCATACAAAAGCATACAAAATACCCCGCTTCCAAATGAAATATCCTATCGAAGATGAAACTCAAGGTTTCTCGAACCAACGAATACTGTGTTTTTTCAGGCGATAATTATCAGAATCAGCTTCATAATATTTCAAAGCAAACTTACATTTCCGTTGAAAATCCATATTTTTTTTGTAAGAACGACACAGCCGTTGTGAATAAATAAAATAGAATAAAATAACACGACGAAACCGAGCAGAAGAACTCGTGAAAATACAAACGGCTCAAAAGGGAAAATGTCCACAAAAAGGGTAGAAAATGTTGAAAGAAGCACTTGGTTCCTTGTTATGGCGAAGATACAATATTTATTCCTTGTCTCCTGGGATGCTCCGCTCCGTCTATTGTCCTCCCATTCCTCAGTGCTGATGCTTAATTTTCAAAACTTCTATATTACCAAGGGACCTACGACATCAGCCGAGAAATACCCTGCAAGTACAAAATCCGTGAGCCAGCCCCGTCCGTGCAGAGGGGAGACGCTCGCGTTCCGCCAGCTTTCCACCGCTACCGAGAGCGCGCAAAGGGGGGACTTTTCCACTTCTCTCGCTTTTTGAGGATTTTAAGGCATTTTTATTATTATTATTATTATTGTTCGGTCGGGCCACACAGCGGAGGAAAAAAAAAGGGGGCTACTTTGGAGAAAGCACAATGTCAACGACCTTCCCCGGACTTGTCCACGACGCAGAGGTAGGCTGATTTATTGCAACAGCATCTATTTTGTGAAATTTTAGTAGTAGCACAATAAATGGCTGTTTTTTTAATTTTCCGACTGATTTATGGAGGCATGTCGGGACAGCCTCTGCTCTCAAGAAGTCTCCAACTGGAATATACCGTATCGCACGGATAACACAAATAATATGCATGGAAAAAAGAGGAATGAGTCGGGCATCTCACTGCGGCTGCCGGTAAAAAAAGGGGCTTTTTTTTAATAGTTTGTGCAAGCGAGTGAGGCTCCTGTTCGAGCCTTCAACAGTGTGATTAGGACATTTTAGGGCGGAACACTCCGTTGTGTCTCACGCTGCTTTCCTCCCATCCGCACCGAGTAAGAGAGATGGGAGAGCAAATTTGCCCAGCAGCTCGGTAATAATAATAATATATAACAGTGCGCCTTTAAAAAAATGCTGCTGGGAGAGTGACAGGCATCCCAAAAGGGAGGGAGGGAAAGAAAAAAAAAATACCGAAGGCTCCTGTTGCCGTGCGTTCGTTCCCCTCCCGGGTGTGTGGAGATGACATCTCCTTCAGGTGCTTTAAAGTGGTAACAAAAAAAAAGAAGAAAAAAAAAGCCCTGCTTTGAGTGTGTGAGTTGTGTTTTTGGGAGTGTTTTGGGAGGTAGAGAGAGGACAAACCGGCTGATGCTAAATGACAAGACTCATATATTTCCCCGTCTCCTTATTATCTTGTAGATACGTCACGACGGATCAAACAGCTACCGGCTCATGCAGCTCGGCTGCCTGGAGTCCGTGGCCAACTCCTCGGTCGCGAACTCATCCTCATATACGCACTCCTTCTAAGCGGAAAACGTGAGAGAAGTTTCTACATCGCTCTACTATTTTTAGACATAGTTACGACACCAGGGTTCAACCATTAGGACAATGGGAGGTAAAAGAAAGTCACCCGTAAGGGGCGGAGAAGCATCAAATACTACGCACGACCTCATCGGTCTTTTTATTATTTGT